ATTTTTTTTTGTTACCAGTATCTTCGAAACCAATGATATAATCGGAATGACTGTAAAATAAATTTGCTTTTATATTCATTTCGTCAACACATAAAACGTAGAATTTATCCTGGGGACATAGAGTGTTGACTTCCAATTTTAGCATTTTGAAAACCATGTCATTTAACAAGCCACAGGATATTTTTAGTTCACTAAATAACTTTCTTAGAGTTTGTGGCGCTGGCAAACAAAACAGTTTCATTAAAACATTGCTATATATGTTACGTGCCCCCAAAGGTGGCATGTTGACTTAAGCATAATTGAAATAAATCAATTCTTGTAAGTGATCTAAAGATATTAAATTTGAGGCATCTGCAAGTTTCTTTAACTCTTCATTTTCTTTGCGCAGTTTTTCGTTCTGTCTTAAAAAGCAACGTCGCAATATCAATTTTCAACCGTTCATTATAACAAACTAATCCTATGCCTGTGGTACCGTCGAATCCTTCCATACTACAGCACAGAACACGTTAGATGAGAATCTCATCCTAAGAGCGGTTGAAGGTCCCCGGTAACTTGGGTATATACTAATCTGTCGATTAGTATATATTACGATATAGTAGAATGAATATTAAATGGCATTAAAACGGTCAAATCTTTCGAAAAGACCGGTAGGAATCACACGTTAAAAAGTAAGACCTCGTTAGTCCTTAGCTCGCACAAGTTTCTCAACTTCTGAGAGTTCTCGTTCGTATGGGGGCGACAGCTGATTAACGGAAAAACAGATTTTTTAAACAGACAGAATAATTTTAATGTTACATGTTATACAGTGTCATCCCCAAAGTATGCAACATATGGGAAACTTCTTTATTAGTGTTTTTCGACAAAAAGTTATTCTTGATAAAAGTTTGTGCATCCCCTAAAACTAAACATGCACCAACAAAATACAGTAAAACACACGTAATATACGAGGAGCCTCAAATATTTGATTTTGAGACAAGAGTAAAGTACTCTTATTTTGAAAATTCTCGGGAAATGTTATTTAGAAAAATTGTTCAGCATTGAAAAATACGTCTAGATCTGGAAGTCATGGCCATCTGAGTTAAGTTTTATTTTTTTCACCCATTTTTTTTTAAATGGGGACTACGAAAAGAAAAATTTGCTAAAACGATAAATAGACAGCATTCTGCATAAGACAGTTCATTGTAAAAGCCTGTAATATTACGAATAACACAACTATGGTGTTAACCACGGTCAATTTTTTTGAAGAGTAAAATAATTTTCGAAGTTTTTGGTGCAAAGTTATTTTTATTTTATGAAACAGTTTTTGTTATCACTATGTTATCACTACGATAACTACCCAGTAACCCGATATTATTTAATTATTGTCACTGTCATTTTTGAAACTCATATAATAAATAACAAAAAATTAAATACATGTTTGAAATCAAAAAAGTTTCATATTTCAAACTTGAATCAAGATCAATATTAATATAAGGCGAGTAATGACAATTTTATAGATATTTGCTGGGTTTTGGCTTATTTCCAGTTTCACAAATGGTTGAGTGCTTCATTGGGTATATATAAGAAAAATTTTAAAAGAATGTGAAATTCTGCATACATATTTCAAAGCGACTTATTTTTCTTGAATATCGATGCAATAAAGAAACAGTGGTTTTTTTTCAGGTGAACATGAAAATAGTCCGTTGAAGTATTTTAACAGACTGGGAAAGAGATCCAGCAGTATTGATGTGTCTGCACAATCTTTGGACGCATCACCGCCCTCCGATCCATGGAGATTCTTTTCTGATATAAAGGTGGAATTAATTTTTTTTTAAAAATTTTTTTGTATACAATTATTAAAAACCCAAGTAATACATTCCCTTCAATTTTTTTGGCTAGAAATTGTGAAATGTCAACAATGCTAGAAGAGATCTGACATCAGCTTTGTATAATCCAACAAGAGCATCATTGCATTAAAACATTTTCAAATATATTAAAAAAAAATCTTAGTTTTTTGATACTTCATACTTCATACTTTTTGAGTTGTTTCATGCATTCTGTAAAAATATATATTTGCATGACATTTTATCAAAATATAAAATCTCGTCCTATTAATCAGGTTCTTATCTGGTATTCATACTGTATGAATATGCTTGGGGAAGCTATTGTATAATGAATCAGGTGTTGCGGTTTTGTAAACTGTTCAGTGAAAATCTCACAATGTTGTGGAAACAAATATTTTGAGAGTACTAATTTTAATTTTTTGTCTTTTCACCTAATTGAAATGTATATAAACACAGTAAATTTATCAATGATATAAATGAAACTGTACTTTTAGATATTGAAAGCTGGAGAATACCCTGTTTCTGTTTGAAGTTTTTTTTTAACTGTCTTCAAATAACTATAATTTTAAGACAGACCAGTTTAAGACAATCAACACAAATATTGTAGGTACCTCTTATCAAGGTAATTTACAAGCTTTTCCTTGAACAGATCTCATGAGTTCATCTGTTACATTAGTTACAATCAGTTCTTCACTTCTCAGAAAACTAGCAATATTTTAACAATGCTGAAATAATTATGTTATTTTTTTTCATGGGGTTTGTTTATTTATAGCTCATTATATATTATCGTATTGTTTTAGAAAGTATTAAATATATTGGATTAACATTATATGTGAATTGAAAAGGGAATGTTTTCAAGAGAGATCCCTTTTTTTACTAGTTTTATTTCATTTATTTTTCACTTTGGTTCACTGGGTACATGTGTTGAATACCTTTTTTCTACTAAAATATAATATCCTCTTTTTCCTAAATGTACAATATAAAGTGAAATATATAAAGTAAATAGTGTAAGAATTTATAATTTTTTTTCAATAATCCTGTGCATGACGTTTTTGGTTTAACAAATACATTACGAAGATATCCCCTAAAAAATTAGGCCATAATTCCATGTTGATTGAAGCCGGCCATAGGACATAATCATATCATCAAGATACTGTTTGTGGCAGTTTGCAAATACGATGAATAAAAGAGGTCCCAGTAGCGAACCCTGCGATACTCTCATTTTTGTTTGCAGGGACCAGATTCATCTTGATCACCTATTATTACTTGTATACAGATAAGTATTAGGTTGTTTCCATTTTGTCCGTTTTAATGACCCAAAATTTAACTAGGCATTTTGCTATGATGGTGTTAATGAACGCAATGTTAGACATTTGTTTGCGAAATTTTTTTCCCGTGATTTTAGCCTCGAAGATGATTCCCGAAGTGATTGGCCTACAGTAATCCAGAACGAGGATTTGAAGACAGACCCTGGTGGAGTCTGGTCCGTGAAAAATGATGCGTGAGATGGCGGGAGAACTGGGCGATAGCTCCCATGCGGTTTTTGATGGTTTAAAATAAATTGAAAAGTTCACAAGGCTCAAAAGGTGGGTGCTCCAAGATTTGAAAGATCGACAGAAATTGACACGTTTTGATGGCTGTTTTTCTTTGCTTTTGTGCAACTGAAACGATCCTTTTTTGGATCGGATCGTCACATGTGATGAAAAGTAGATCCTCTATGACAACAGGAGACGTTAAGGACAATGGTGGACACTAATGAGCCACCTTGGCACTTCAGAAAGGCGAAAACCCACCAAAAAGGCCCTTGTTTCTTTTTTGTTGTTCTGGGCTTGTTTTGTTTCATTTTACTTTTTTGGACCTGGGCAAACTATTACAGCAGACTCATGTTGTGAGGACATCGACGAAATGTACTGAAAATTGCGTCAACTGGTCTGGTACTGGTCAACAAAAGAGGTTCGATCCTGCTCCACGACAACACCTGTCTGTACGCTTCACAAATCATCCTCTGAAAATTGAACGAATTGAGCTTTGAAGTTCTGCCTCATCCACTGTACTCTCCAGACCTCTCGTCAACCGGCTACCATGTTTTCAAGTACTTTGATAGCTTTTTCACCGGTAGAACCTTCGTCGATCAGGACCGGGTAAAAACAGGTTTCGTCGACTTCATCGAATTCCGAGCACGTTTATGTTACATTAGCAAAAGTGCACTGATTTAAAGGGCGCTTATTTCGAATAAATTGACTAAGTATTCACTGAGATATTATAGTTTGAAGTAGGCTTATAAAAACCGACAAAATTTTTGAAACAACCTAATACAAACTCTAAAAATTCTTTAACAGCTGCATTTTTTTTTCGAAAACCATTCTGAATTGACGGTAACATGTCGGAAGACTATATAACTTTCTAGTCTCCTGTGAGATATTCACTTTTCCCCTTCAAATGCTAATCTTTATTTATTGTTGATTTTATTCAAAATACGTCTTTCTTATTCTTACTCCTGTTTTGGCCTATATTGATTCACCTAATCATCATTCGTCTCTTTTTTGTTTTGGTTGAACATTTTTGATTCCTTTCTATTTATTTTTCTATATTTCTTACATGAAATTTAAAATTTTATGATTTTTTCTGTTTCTGTTCATTGCAGTAGTATTCTATTGAATTACTCTTTTAGAAGAATTAACGGATTTCTTTTAGGGTAAAATTACCAAGAGTGTTGAAGAAAAAATTACAGAAATAAAAGCCAGGAATCAAGACGAAGGGTCGCCCCAACACAAAGTCAAAACTGAATTGCCTACCGTTAAAGATAGCAAAGAATGTTCCAGTGTTTCGGATTCTGAGGACTTGTCTGAAAGCAGTATTTCAAAGACCTGCGGTATCGTATCGACTACAGAAGGTACCCCACAATTTAATTGAAGACATTTAATATCAATTTTAGTTTTATTAGTACATCATATAATTCAATTGATTTGTTTGATATAAACCTAGTTTTATTTGATCATAGTCTGCATTAAAATTTCTCCAGATTCGTATGTTACTTAAGTACACCAGAACTTTTTTTTGGAAATATACTTTTTTGAAAATATGACTATTCCAGGTGTCGAAATGTCATCCGATGAAGATACCCCCTCCATAGAAAAGGATAGAAAATCTGATAAATCATCCCCGCTGTGCCTCAGACAAAGATTTCGGTTCTTCAAAAAAAATCACTCTGAGGAAGGTACAGTAAAAATCAATGATTTATCGAAACTTCACAACATAACTACCGAGTCTGCTGAACAGGCTTTGCCAGAGGAAACTGAAGGAGTAGAAAATGCTATTGACGCTCTTGAAGAATCAAATTTAGATGATATCTCTATGGATATGAAGATTTCAAATGATAATATATTGAGAACTGTGGTGCAAAAAATTGATAATCTTGAGCTAGACAATGACAATGTAGTGATCGTAAGGGAGGTGCTTGGAGATGAAATGAGGGAAAGGTATTTTGATTGTAACCAGGATATTGGGAAAACTGTATTTGCACCTAGTGGTTTCGTAGATCTACGTCCAAAAAGTTGCCATACAGTTTCAAATAATTTGTAAGTTACACCATCCGCTCCTAAGAAAAGATGAAGTTATATTTTATTTTGTTTCAGTTCCTACCTGATACTTTTTGTATCTGTAGCTATTTACTTCATTATACATTATTATTCGTCATATTTTGCTGGACTGGCAGCCGGAATAATTCTGTCTTTTGTTATTTTCAAAGTTTACTCTAAATTGTATCTCATGAAACAAATAGCACCAGCCAGATTCTTCGAAAGCTCTCTGAAATCTATGACAAATACTTTTTTTGAAGTAGAAGCTGTTAAGGAATACCAACCTTTACTTAAATATGAGGTGAGTTTTATAATAATTAGAGAGAGAGAGAAATGTTATTTATTGTCTGAAGAACAAAGATTCTTATCAACAAAGCATACCTTACGTTAAATAGTTTAAAGAATAGGCACAAAAAGCGCGTATCAGTCATAAAAAATTATCTTGAATAATTTGAAACGGGTCATATAAGAAAACCCGAATTAGTCAAAAAATACCACATCAGACGAAGATAATTAAACTAACAAAAATTACGTTAGTATAGCAATAGAATCAAATTTAAAATGTTTCTTTAAAAAAAGTCAGCATATAGTTTCTCACTGACTAAAAGGTAATTTAATAGTACTATAATTCTTTGTATAACTTCAAAGCTGTCAATGTGATTTTTCTCATCAGGCATGCAATTTCCAATATGAATAAAGCTATTGCTGTCAGAATTTTATACTTAATGAATAATGGTCGACACAAATCTCGATTTTTTTTATTCACACTTAACATTTTGCCCGATTTTGTTGAATTAAAATGACCTCCATGTATTTGTAAGTAACTCCCCCCAGATGGCAATGCCATAACTCAGGTGAGATTTGATAAGTGAATGGTGAACCATGTTTTGTTTACGACACGAACTGCATAACATCCGGATGCTAATTTTGTTTTGAGCCTCAATATGAATATCACTATCTGGGGGTTACACTATCAATGTGTAACCCCAAAGATTTTGTATGATGTTTGGTCTCTGTTGACCTAGTGAAACATTTTAAGTCTGACCTCTGACAGTGTCAACATGGTTCTTAGAGACATTGAAAAAAAATATGTTAGTAACGTCATTTTCTAATTATGTTGACATTATTATGAGTCACAGTCAGAAATGCTTTATTGTCATAAAAGTTTGAGTTTTGTTGACAAAGCAGGCTTAAGAACTTAAACAATCTGAAACATTAAAATGAAGGTCAAGAATTGAAACAAGCTATTAATATAACAATTTTTTAAGTTGCAATTATAAGTTGCGAAGTCATCTGAAAGGAATTCCTCAATACTATAATAAGCTTTATCTAGCAGAAGTTTTTTTACTCTTATTCGAAACTGTTTGTAGCAAGTTAACTTTCTTTAAAAGGGGGAGATGATTAAAATGTGTTTTGCTATTATAAAGAATCGAGTTTTTAATTTGTGCTGTTGACGGGATGGGAAGAGGAATATTGAATGTGAGACGAATGGCATAACTTTGAGTTGAGTACGAGATGTTATCTTTGTGCTTTCTGTGCATTAGGCAGACTGTTTCTAAAATAAAGAGGCAGTAGACTGTTAAGATGTGATGAGTTAAAAAAAAGATCTTACAGGAATCTTGGACTCTAGCTCTGGTAATGAATCTACTGCTCTTTTTTGAATTGTGAAAACTTGACTCATTAAGTTTTGACAGAAACAAACTCCTTACCGCAAGTAGGATTCGAAAAGTGCAAAGTATGCTTTTCTAGCAGAGTGATAGTCCAAAGAGTTAGATTTAGATCTTATCGCATAACAACTTGAGGATAATGTTTTGCATAGTATACTAATATGCATTCCAAATTTTAATTTGTTGTCTATGTTGAGGCCTAAAAATTTTTTCTCTAGTTTATGATTAATGATGATCTCTTTAAGAATTATATGGTCCAAGTTACATTTAAAGGACATTATATTAGTCTTTGATGTATTGAAAGATAATAAATTGGCATCACACCATTGTTTAACTTTGCCTATATCATGCTCTACCCTAATTTTAGTGCATCAGTGCTTCTTCCATACTAAAGTATAGACGTGTCGTCCGCAAAACTTGTGAATTTGCCTTCAATCGATATATATGCCAGATTATTTATATATAATAAAAACAGCAACGAGCCGAGGACAGATCCTTGATGTACTCATTTTATCTTAAGATGAACTTTTGAAATTCACTACTTGAACGTGATCTGATAATTTAATTAATTTAATTTACCTATCTATATCCTACCTGTGCCATCTTATGGTGGTGTCATCGGCATACAGTGTGAAATATCCAGATATTTTGACATTTGCCAAATCATTGATATATACAAGAGAGAAGAGCAGACCAAGTTTTGAGCCTTGAAGTACGCCAGACTTCAAGCACGCTTTTTCAGATAGTGCTGTTGCTTTTACTATATGGCTTTGCCCTGAATGATAGGATTATACAATTAGAACGCAACTTTTCTAATTCTGTAGTGCTGAATTTTCTGTAACAGTATTTCATGAGTCACCAGTCAAACGCCTTTATTAAATCACAAAATACTACCACTATAATTCTACTCACTGTATATATTTTTAAGAATGAGAAGATGGCATCATTGGTATTTTTGATGTCTTGAAAGCGAAACTGTTTGCTCATAATGATGTTGTGCTTTTTGAAAAATGACAACCTTCTAATGTCCATCAATTGTTCTATTAATTCAGCTAGTTTAGGTATAAGAGCTATAAGTCTATAATTGGCCGGGTCATCCCTGCTTTATGAAATGAAATTAGGACTGATCTTTTTATATAAATTGGGGCATGCGCCTTTGCCAAAGGATATGTTGGTTAGAGTAGCCATGAATGCCAGTGCGTAGTCTGGAAATTTTTTCGAATATTCAAATTGATGTTTCATTGAATCCCATTGTTTTAATTTTTATAGACTTGATAATTTCTTTTATTTCTCTTGAATCAGTGTTATACAGACAAAGTGACTATAATACCGTGACTTGGAAATGTTTCTAATGGATCGAAATCGAAACATATTTTTCGCAGTAATAATTTTTGTATTCACACTTATAAGCTTTCTATCATTCTGTTACCTAAGTTAATTGATAATATGTCAACTCTTCTTTACTTTATTATTGGACTTTTCAATTTGTTTATTGTATTGAGTGCATTTCTTTGTGGATGGCATAACATTTATTGAAATATTGGTGATAGAATTTTTTGTTAGTAAGTAATTTTTAGAGTTCTAGTTTACTCTATTGGACTTTTCTAAAATATCAATATATTTTTGAGTTCTAACTTTATAATTGCTTATTTTGTGAGTGTTTTTTCTTGAAAAACATTCCTGGCTACGACGAACATTGAATTATATCCAACAGACATTTGCGCAAGTTTCCTCACAGGAGAAATTTTTGCAGATAATCCAGTTCGTTCAGTCGCAGGACCTTATAGAAATCAATCGAGGAATCACTTGAAAGACCAGTTTTGGACTGTTTACTCCTTGTTTTGATTTGAAATATTTTTTTTTCAATACATATCTCTCCTCGACACAGTCATCATCAGACTGATTTTGATTTCTATTAGAGTTTTTGTAGGTGGAATGCTTCTTCACGAGATAAAACTGTTACTACTTCATGTTAGTTAAGAAAGATCTTGTCTGGGACAAAGTTTTCATATATTCAGTCGAACTACCATGAAATCAGTCGAATCCCGGAAAAATTAATGTCTTGCTTGAATTTGTCCGGCACTGACGAGAAGTAACACTTCAGTATAGGTTTGTAGGTGTTGACTTGATTGATTTCAATAAGGTCCTGCTACTGGACGAATACGAAGCATGAACAGAATTAACTTTTCAAAGAAACTTGCCCAAATGTCTGTTGAATGTAATTCAATGTTCGTCATCGTGTTAGCCTAGCAAGTAGTTGGCAGGCATTTGCCATATCCTACATCAAGGATGTTAGAATGTGTACAAATTCAAATCGAATATTTAGTTTTGTAATATTTATATATGTATTTTTTTCTCAACACAGTCATCAGACTGATTTTGATTTGTTTTTTTGTTTTGAATGTCATTTACTGTCTTTCAGGGATGGGCTAATGAATATCCGGATGTATACAACCCAAAAACTTACCATATTTCTCACACCCAGTCTGTGTATCTTAGACTTCAAGCTAATTTGCTGAGAATAAGCCATGCTAAAAATAAGGTGCCTAAGCGAGCTATGTGGAACGAATCTGAAATAAAAGCAAACTTCACCCATCACCGAATATATAATTTGTTTGGAGCAAAAATAACGCTGCTTCCTGAAGGTTTGACAAAAATAAGGTAGTTTTTTTCAGTATAACTTTTGTAAACATTTTATGGTTCTAAAATATTCAGTACAAACCAAAAATATCCACAAACAAAATCGGTAGCAATAAGACACTATGAAAGTTTTGAATTACCCTGTTTTCTTCATAACCAGTATTGACGTTGTTCCCGTACAGACATTTTGATTTTTTTTTATGACGACTTAACATTGTTACATAAATTGATTGACTTTTTTATTTATATCTGAGGATTTCGTTTATGATTATAAGATTGTGTTTATAGTCATAAATTATAGAAGATGAGATCTGGGTGTCTTATTGTCCTAGTAAGAAAAATGCAAGTGGTGACTCAATTAGAGCTGATAAGATTTAGGTTGATCAAAATTTCGTATTCAGTAGAATCTTTACATGAAAATGCCTGTACCTTGAAAACTGACAAACCATGTATACTCATTTAAAAACATTAAGATATACTAGATGTACTGCAGAGTAGGCCAAGCGGACAAGTCAGCTGTGGCAGAACACGCGCTTAGTGAAGGAGACCACATAATTTTATTTGAAAACACAGAACTAATTGCCCCCAACCAGGGATACTATAACCGACGGTACGGGAGGCAAGAGAGATCCACAAACACACGGAGAATTTCAACAGAAAAGAAGAAGCGGTGAACCTCAATCGAATATGGAACCCCATTTTAAGGAATTCGAGAATAACGAACAGAATTACAACAGGCAGCAAGATTGTTAATGTTCCAGGTTCAAGTACAGGTACAAATACAACTGATTACCTGACAAGGCATATATACGCTTTACGAAGCTTAAAAGTTAGTCATCGGACAGCAAGCCATGATGGTTAAACCTATGAAGAAGCTAGCTACTCGCGCCAGCGAAACGTCAGGAAGAAATTCCAAAAATCCACGGCTTTCAAACTCGAAAAACAGTGACACTGAAAACCTCAGCCGCGAAAGTCTAAACCATTTTGTCATTAAGATGTACGTTTATGTACATGGGACCGGTTACACAGGGAAGTAGAACCGGTCTCATGCTTTTTATTATTTTCATGAACAATATTTTAGAAATCCTAAATAATGACGGTAAAACTTCTCACATCACCAATTATGCTGATGATACAAATCTGTTAGTATCAAGTCACAACTATCCAAACTTAATTATAGAGTCGAGTAACCTGTTAGACAGAGCAAACCACTGGTTCTCAAAGAGTAATTTGATTCTGAATGTTAAGAAAACAAATGTTATTTTATTTAGATCGGCACAGCAAAGAATTAAAACACCAAGTACAATTATTCTGTCAAACAATGAACTTGCAGTTCAGTACTCAACAAAATTTCTTGTTATATATGTTAACGAACACTTGCATTGGTATAAGCATATTACAAATGTGGGAAAAAAATTGAATCAAATATGTTACATATCAGAGTTATTGGCTCATACCTCAATGAAAAATCACTAAAAATTATATATTCTGCGAATTTTGAATCTTTACTTGAATTTGGTATAATATTCTGGGGAAGCAGCAGTAAATACCTCTGATATATTCCTTATCCAAAAAGGAATTACGAGAGTTATCTATTTGAATCAGTGCACTTTTGCCAAAATAACACAAGTCGGTTAATTCCGTCAGCATAAAATTTGTGTGTTCGGGATTCGATAAAGACGACGAAAGACGTTTTTACCTGGTCTTGATTGGCAAAAGTTCTACCGGTGAGAAAGTTATCGAAGTTCTTGAAAAGATGGTAGTCGAAGAGAAGTCTGGGAAGTATGCTGGGTGGGGCAGAACTTCGACTCTTAGTGATTTGTAAAACGTGAAGACGAACGTTGTCGTAGAGCAGGATCGAACCTTTTCTGTTGACCACTGCCGGCTGCTGCTGATGCAATTTTCTGTACATTTCGTCGATTTCCTCACAATAGGACTCTGCCGTGATGGTTTTACCCAGTTGCAGAAAGTTATAGTGAATCATACCAACCGCTGACCACCATACAGTAACCATGATTTTTTTGGTGTGTTTTTGCCTTTGGGGTGGCTCATCAGTGTCCAACTACTGTCCTGAACGTCTCCTATTATCATAGAGGATCCACTTTTCAAAACACGTGACGATCCAATCCAAATAAGGATCGTTTTGGTGGCGCGAAAGCAAAGAAAAACAAAACACATCGAAACAACAATTTCTGTCCATTGTTCAAATCGCAGAGCACCCACATTTCGAGCTTTCTGACCTTTTCGCTTTCCAATACATTTAAACCACCAAAAATCGCATGGGAGCTGACACTCAGTTTTCCACCGTTTCACGCACTATTTATAATGGTCCGTCTCCACCAGGAACCTCAAATCCTCGTCCTAGATTACTGTAGGTCGACCACTTCAAGGCTAAAAATCTCCAAAGCAAAATTTCACAAACCAGCGTTGAACAGTGCATTCATTCGGCAGCGCTTTGGTTCAATTTGAATTCATAGGGAATTTTTTCGAAAATCGCGTAACGACATCACATATCAATAAGCTGGAAACAGACAAAAATTTAAAATTTGGAAAAAATGAACAGCATCAATGTGTAAGACTACAAAATCTCTATCGATTAGTATACGGGGTATTCCATATTCGATGGTCTATTGGACATATCTTGAGAAAAAAAATAGATGGAAGTTTCAAATTTTGGTTACCGATGTAGATGGTTGTGATCTATGGTTTCAAAATATTTTCATCATCGCATTGTTGCCACATCTACATGAAACAGACATCAACTTGGAAGTTTCAAATAGAACACCCTGTATACCATTTTTGAATTCTGCATTGAAATCCAAGTTACTTTTGTGAACCATGTTCTATACCTATCTCTCACCGTTTTTTAAATAATAATCATTTTGTGAATTTTTTCGGCAAAAACATGGTATTATTAATATTTAATATCGCATGAATTAACTGATACATCGAACTCAAATTCTGGCAACATTGAGATAAGGTATGGTGGTCATTATTTCAAAACGAAACTCAAATCTTATTTTACACAGAGTGTCTGAAAAATACGTCTCAATTTGTATCTTTGAAAAACGACCATAACTATTTTTTTTTTAATGGAACAACCTGTATATTATTCAATTTTCGAATTTAGCCAACCAATGTGAACAACTTTGATCAACTATGTCCTATACCTATCTCTGACCATTTATGAGATATGAACTATTTCTAAAAAAATTTGCTCTTATGCAAGCATAAAATTTCCAATAAAATTAAAAACCAAGTTAATAATACACAATAATACACAAGAGATACTTTTGAATATTATTGAATTAGTCTGAAAAATTCAATACCTATGGTGAATTTTTTTCTATTTCCAATAATCTACTCGTATATCAAAAGAGTTTTAATTTTAACTCATTGATTTTCTGGAGATTATTTTGGAGAATTATTTTGTTACTGTATTTTGTTGGTGCATGTTTAGTTTTAGAGGATGCACATACTTTTATCAAGAATAACATTTTGTCGAAAAACCCTTAATAAATAAATTTTCCATTTGGTGCATACTTTGGGGATGACACTGATAGCAAATATGAACCTGGATTCCTCGGAGAACAGTGAAATTCCTAAAAGATATTTTGATTTTTAGACATTGTTTTGAATTTGATTGTATTCGTCATAAATATTGTGTATGTTAATAATTATTGTAGAAACTTGAGTGAACGTTCTGTCTGTAAAGAGTCAGTTAATAAACTTAAATTTAGGTGTAACTGGCAGTTCAAGAAAATCTATATCAAACTTTGTTAATACAGTTCACAAAACCACTATTGTATAGCAAAACACGTGTTGCGGTTTTGTAAACTTATTATAGTGAACATTATAGTGGCAAGATTTTTTTTAATTCAAAGTTGTCTTGGAATTATGAAACAGTTTTTGTTATCACTATGTTATCACTACGATAACTAC